GTGTGTGTATATATATATATATATATATATATATATATATATATATATATATATATATATATATATATATATATATATATATATATATATATATTACTGTTATAGAGAGCCTTAAACCTAAAATAATAGCCTAAGAACTTAAGTCAAAAGATCCCACAGTGCAGTTCGAATTTTTTTCAAAGAAATCAACTTGAATTAGGTTAACATTATTTTGTTTTTCTCTTGCTAATTCATTATATTATATAATTCAAATAAGGAAAGATTAAAACACAAAGTTTAGTTAATTAACAATTCCTAAATATTAGAACAATAAATTAAAGGACTATATTAAAAAAAGATAGTAATTTGTCTAATGTGACTAGTCTTAGTGTACGCACGTTGTGCGTGTACATATATCAATGAGTATATAATTAATAATTAATAAAATATTACTATATAATACAATTGAGTTACAAAATAAATATTAAAAAGTACAAGTTTTTGAAAATAAATAATATTAATCATATTTATATAGATCAATAAACAGAAAAAATCACGCCATATAGAAATTTTTGGACATATAATGCAAACATTAATAGGAGAATTTCTAGAACAAATTATTAATGTAAATATAAATACAAACAACACACACATCTAACCCCCATTTTGACCAACTCATAATTTTTCCTTCGCGTCTTAAAAGAATGTCATAATCAATTTATGCACGAAGAGAAAAGTCCATCACTCATTTACCAAAATTTTAAGTGCCCACTCCTCTAGTTGAATTCAAAGTTTTACTATAAACCAATATCTAAATATGTTTACAATTAATATAAAAGACTGTTAGTTATTTTTCTCACCTAATAATTATATCGAGCTTTCAAATACAACCTTTTATTTATTACGATTAATAAACTATTATCTTCTCACTTTTTTTGGGCAATAAGTACTCTAACTTTTGGTTTATCTTTGAACTTATCGCCTATCTTTAAATCAAACTTTAAAGAATAGATGATATCTTCATATTCAAATTCCTGGCCTTTGATCAAATTTACCTTTCATAACATCTTTTTATCTTTTATTTATAAATTTCCTCTCAAGTATATATTTCTTCATGCCAAAGTTCCGAAAAGGAGGTCTGTTTTCTTTCAAAATAACATGTTCTCTTTTGTGTTTTTGGTTATTAACTAATATTATAATAAATTTTAAAATATTAGCGCTAATGATAGTAATATCCAAAAAGAGATTTAAACATAGTATATATTTACGAAGCAAAAGGCACTGAAAACCTAAAATATCATTGAATATAAAGTATCATCATCGATTTTAGCAACGATTAATTCTTACTTCTGTTTTGTGGACCTTGGTTTTTTTTTTTTTTATTCATCATTAAATTCAAACTCATTTCTCTCCTTTGAATTGACAATATATTAATTTTGATTGGCTTTGAAGTAAGAGAGAATATACCTTAATATTCTTAATTATTCTTTAACTCAAGACAAAATTGTTAAAACTTGGTGCAACTTAGTTCGTTCATACTCATTAACCATAATTGTTATTAAATCTTAATAAATAAGGAATTGAAATTAAATTTTCGATTTTCCTTCTTTGGGCATAAATTAAATTAAGGACTTATAGTTATTTTAAGCAATTTAAATAAGAAGATGATTCATATAAGATAAAATCTTATTTGATTTTTGAATTCCTAAATATTAGAGTTCTTATTATAGCAAATTCATTTTAGTTAATTTTAAGTTTAAATATTATAAAAACTTAAATGACAATTATGTTTAGTGTATAATTATATGATGTAGATGTTATACATCATTACCAATTAATGGTTTATATTAAAAAATAATAAATTTATAAGTCACTTTAAACACTTTGTGCACATGAATTTTTTTTTAGATTAACACTACTCATATGGTCGAAAAAAGAAATCGACAAAAATTAGAATTTGAAAATATGTTTGGTGATTTTAACGTGTTTATGTAATAACCCAATATTTTTTTTCTTAATAAACTTATTAATTATGAGATTAGAGAATTAATTGTTAGTTATAACTATTTGGTCAAATACTAAACTGGTAAAAGGGATTTATTATACAAATAAAATAGTGCACTGGTAATTTGTAAGTAGACCAAGTTTTATAAGTATTATATATGATTGGAGACAAATTAATTAATTTAGTAGGGGGTTTAATAAATAAATAAATAAAAATTAATGGGCCTAGTCCCACAATTGTGAGCATCAAGTTATATGGGATATTTTTAAAAATAGCCAGATTTACAACTGGTCGTTCAAAAATAGCCCATTTTCAAAAGTAATCGTAATTTAGCCACTTTTTATGTAAAGATAAATCTGAGCGAAAACACTGTTCAAAACCCGGAAAATACTCCAGTAGATTATGCTGGAGTTCCAGCATAAGTATACTTGAACTCCAGCATATTATACTGGAGTTCCAGGATAGTATGCTAGAACTCCAGCATAATATGATGGAGTTCCAGCATAAATACACTAGGACTCCAGCATATTATGCTGGACCGGTATACTTTGTTGGATCCACTATAATATACTGGAGTTTGGAGCACCAGTGCTCCAGTCTCCAGTATATTATAGTGGATCCAACAAAGTATACCAATAATCAACCTCGGGCCCGCTTGGTCAAAACACGAGGTTCGGACCAAAATCAAATCACCCATTCATCCACGAGCCCAAATATGTAATTATTCCCAGAATTCGACCCTAAAACGAGGTCTAAATCACAATTAATCAAAAAGCCCTAGTTCTACCCAAATCCCTAATTTTCTACCCTTAATCTCATGATTTAGGCCTAGAAATCTAGTGGGTGTTGATGGAAAATGAAGAAAATGAGTCTAAGATTACATACCTATGAGTTTGTGGTGAAATCCTCTTTCAAAAATCGCCCAATTTGGAGTTGAGATGAAGAAGTTATGAAATTTTGAAGAAGTCCCGTAATGGCTACTGTTTTAAAATCGCTGGGCAGACCTTCCGCGAATAGCAGCCTTCCTCAGGCTTATGCGATCGCGAATCCTCTTACGCGTTCGCGAAGGGTTGGCCCCCCTGACCTTCGCGTTCGCGGGCCTATGAACGCGTTCGCGTAGAGGAATGTTCACTTCCCAGACCAGCCCCCTATTTACACTATGCGTTCGCGGGACGTGGGTCGCGTTCGCGTAGAGCAACCCTCCAGTGCTCCGCGTTCGCGACCCTTCCCTCGCGTTCGCATTGAACAAAATCACCCCTGTCCCCATTTACCTTACGTGATCGCGAGAGTGACTACGCGATCGCGAAGAATAACAGGCCTGTGCACCTGTTGCAGATTTTCTGCAATTTTTCCTAAGTTCAAAACTTCCCGAAACACATCCGAAACACGCCCGAGCCCTCGGGGCTCCTAACCAAACACACGTACTAACTCAACAACATCATACGAATTTATCTGTGCGATCAAATCGCCAAAATAAACTCGATAACAACGAATTAAACCTCAAAATCAAAGGATTTTTCTTAAACTTCATAAAACATCAACTTTAGCAATTTAAGTCCGAATCACGTCAAATGTTATCCGTTTTTCATCAAATTTCACAGAAACATCTTAAATCATATATGAGACCTGTACCGGGCGCCGGAACCAAAATACGGGCCCGATACCATCGTGTTCTAATCAGATTTCATTTTAAATTTCCTTGAGCCATTTCAGAAAATAATTTTTCTTTAAAAATTCACTTCTCGGGCTTGGGACCTCGGAATTCGATTCTGGGCATACGCCCAAGTCCCATATTTTTCTACGGACCCTCCGGGACCATCGA